CTGTGTCTTGTTTTCCCTCCCCGTTTCTGTCTTCAGAGTCAGATGATTATGGAATTTTCCCCCGTTTATTTGACTAGTAATGGTGTATTACATTAGCTGACTTTCATATAGAAAGCCAAATTTGCATTTTGATGGGTCTTAGTATGTGGTTCCTTATTTGTTGCAAGACATAGTTTACATTTCGTCTGACAGAGATTTACTCATCTGTAGCAGTGAGCGACACTACAGATGTACAGAGTACAGTGTTTACCATTTCTCTGTGTGAATCGAGCTGCCACAGGGGACTTTTCTTTTGAGCCTGAAGAAGTAGTGTTTCTTTCCCATAATGAAGGCCTTCTATCTTGCATTTTCTGGGGGTGAGTTTATTGCACCCACATTCTGGAGTAGGTTATGTAGTTCTTAGCGGGTAGATTTTCCCACAGGCTTTGGCCCCTCACTTAGAACAGTCAGAGATGCAGAGATGCTGCGCTGTGCTTCTGGAAAGGATCTGCTGTTCTTTGCCTGCCGTCAGGCATTTAGCTTGAGCTGTCATGTGCTTATCTTAATGATGATTAAGCTTTGTAGATCTCTAAGTTTATATTTCTCTTTAAATATGGGATGTTTCTTTGCGGCTGTCTTTCTCCTCCACCGTCCACCCTGCAGTCCGTGTTGGTCTGCCTCCTCCTGTCCCACAGGCAGGATCTCACATTTCCTCATCCCTTCTGTGTCCCTCAGACTGCCCTGCTTACAAGTTTGTTAGTTTGGCCATGTCATGTGGTCGAGCTTCCGCGGGGACATCTGCCTGTCATTGATCTCACGTTTTTGCGTCTTCTTTAAGTCCAGCACCCGGGTCCCCTTCGGCACGGGTGGTTTGAATTGCTTTTCTTCCCTAAGAATAGTTCACATTTTCTTTGTATGTTTATTTGTTGTTGTTGAAAGTTCTAGATTTTAGAAAAACACTGTAGGAAATCTGAATTGCAGTTTGCTTCCCAGAAGGTTGTGGTTGCTGATGTTCTTGTGTTTTCCATTTTTCTTATGGTGGTGTCAGACTAAATCCATGGAGGCTTTGTCTGCCATACATTTTGGCTAGTAACGGATTTGTTAATGTTTTTCTCTTTTACTTTTAGTTTTAAACCTGTGCTTGTAGAAAAGAGCGCGCCATGCCCACACTGCTTGGTGGTCAGCCAGGACTCCGTCAGGGGTTGTAAGCGGACCCTGTTTTAATACACTTTCCCTCTTAGTATGCATTGTGGAATTCAGAGTGGCCCGTTTTCATGTCCACCTTGGCTTTTCCTTTCTACTGGGATTCCTTGCTGTCTTTTCTGCACAGACTCATTGTCAGGCCACAACACATGAGAATTTACCAAGGCCTCCTGTGACCGCGTTTCTAGACTCTGTCCTGTTCACCTCTACTGAGCTCATCTGTTACCTGCCCCACTCAACATGGCAGGATTGGGCTGGCTGATGTCCTGGTCCTCCCTACTGACATTGCTGCTGCTGTGGCCTTACTGCTGCGCATGCTGTGGTGTGTTAGCCGTTGTTCCTCACTACCAGGTTTCTCCTTTAGCAAGCTGTGCTCGGTTTCTCCTGTGATTGGGGCCTTTGTTCGTAGAAGTTTCACAATTTTATTTTCCTATCTGCATCGTAGTATTTACACATTCTAGACTTCACTTAGCTGTTCCTCAAATGCTGAACATTAAGATCTTTTCCTTTAAATTATAATGTCAGCAGTGATCCCAGAATCAGCCTTGCACATAAATACTGTCACTGTTGGACGAACCAATGTGAATAGTAAGTTCCTATCAGGGAAACCATTGAATCTCAGTGTTACTTTTTTTATCATTATCTTTTTTCTCTTTTTTCTCTCTTAAGATTGTATTATTGTGTGTTTATGTGTGTATATGTGTATTGCTCTTGCAAGTATATGGAGTGTGTGTGTGTATGTTGTGCTTGCAAGTACATGACATTCATGTGAAGATTAGAGGACAACTTTTGAGGGTTGATTTTTTTTTTCCCTTCCACCATATGAGTCCCAAGGATTGAACTTGGGGCAGTGAGCCTGTTGGAAGACTTCATTCTCTGAGCCAGCCCTGTAAGCCCTTCAGTGCTACATTTAATGATTTATTTGAAAACGTTTTCCTCATTCTCCAAGCTCACATAATAGACTAAACTCACTAGGTAGGAAAGTCACATATAATAAATCAAATATACACATTTGATTACAATTCTAGTCCTTTTCGTGCTCTTCACAACTGATAATATCGATGTTTTAACAGTTTTAATTTTTTCAAGTAGGAAGTTGCATTCAGATGGTTAAGGGAAAGTGCGTGCTCAAGTGCAGTTGACTCAAATGGTGTGTTTTTGTTACTTCTTAACTGTCATGCTGTTTTTCTGTTTTAATATACTTTTGCAAAACTGATACTTAAAATGGGCTTTAACTATAGTTTCTGTGGCACCATTATAATCTCCTAATCTTACCTAGAACCATGATCTTATTTTTACTTTTTAAAACTTTCACTGGTGTCTTTGACTAGGCCTTCAGCCATGGTCTTTAAATTGAACCTCAGTCTATTTTTAACTATTTACAATTGAGTGTCACACCTCCCAACAATTTTCCACAGGGCAAATATGTAGCATCTTTTTAGCACATTTTATTTAGAATGTGTTCTGCAAATCACTTATTAATCTTCACACATTTTTAGCAAAATGGTTGATAACATATTATCAGCCTTATTTTAGACAGGTTGGAATAATGATAGGTTCAGATGACTTCTCTGAGGCACAAGCCCTCAAATAAGCTAGGGAGAGGGTCTGTGCTTACAGTACAGGGTAGCACACACCCGCCCCCGGCCCTGAGCTCATCTGCCAGTGGCAATGCCCTTCATTGGCCAGCACAGGCCTCTCCCCAGAAGGCAGCTTTCTTCTGGACGGTGCTCCTGGGTTTCTCTTGTTCTACAATGCCTTCTACAAGTTTCTAGTTACCTTTTGCATAATGCTTTTGAAAAGTGAGGAGGAGATCATGTAATTTTGGTGGTAAATTTCCCAATCTTTGTTTTTAACTCAAGTCGTAAATTCTTCAGGAACTGCCTCAGTTTTCTGTTCACACTGAAGTATGATCAGGTTTTACCAGTCTGGAAATTCCTCTGCCTCCCTGGAACCTGTGCTCTTTTCTGTCACTTCCTCCTTGCAGCCTCACATCTGGAAGGAGCTTCTTGCCATCCCTGTGTCCCTGACGTTACTCCCTTTAAAGTAGATTCCAAGTCCACACATCGCCAGGTTACTGTGTGGAGGCTAATGGTGGTTTTATTGTTGGCAAGTCCCACAGGCTCAGGTCTTGGCTGCTGGACAGACTGAGTGGCCCAGCTGCCTGCCTGGGGTGTGGCCGCCTAGGTCATCACCTTCCTTTCTGTTTCGATTTCTTACCACACCTTTGCAGTCCACTTTTTGAATTTATTTTTTCCTTGTATTTTCGTCTATATCCACTAATAGTACAGTGATCTGTCCAGAATTCAAAACTAAATGCTCAGTTTTACTCCCTAAAAATCATTATGCTGTCTTAGCACCCTTAATTATAGTTATTTAAAGTTAACTTAAGGCATCACAAGACTTGGTTTCTGCTTTCTCTTTCTCTTTAAGGCACCCAATTGCCTTTACAATCTTCCCATATAGTACTTTTTTTCTTCTTTTTCTTAATTTATCTTTGTCATTTATGCATTTCTTTTGTTGAGGCAGTCTGACTTGTTACCTAGACTGACCTAGGGCTCACCGTGTAGCCCCAGTTGGCCTTGCTTTCTGGAATACATTATTTGGCTCTTAAAGTGATTTTTTCTTGCTTAGAGTAGTGCTCTCTGGGCCGCCCTTCTGATGGCAGGCTCTTACTCTTCCTCAGCTGGCACCATGTGGAGGGAGAGAAGCTCCCTTCCCTGCTCACAGCTAAGTTAGATGGCTCCTTTTCATTATATACTTTTCTTTTTATTATAAAGCAGATAGTTTTATTCATTTATTCTGTGTCTTTGCTGATTTTGAAATGGAGTTGAGGATCACTATGAAGAGGAAGAAAGGAACGTGACTCCATAGTTTCTGAAATTAACATGTGGACCTTACTAGAAGGTGAATGCAAGAATACAGACTGGCAGGAATTAGAGTACATACTGAAGTTTAAAAATCCTGAATTTCCTTGTTTGTGTAGCACCAGTGGTCACCTTGACATGGCCTGCATGTAAGTGGACCCTTATCACACAGTGCCCGAGGAGGTCAGAAGAGGATATCAGATCCCCTCAAACTGGTTTATCTTAAAAATCTTAATTACCTTAACTGAGGTGGGCAGACCTGCCAATTGTGGGTGACACCATTCTCTGAGCAGGGGACCCTTGACTCTGTATGAGCAGGAAAGACAGTTGGGAACCAGCACACATGAACACCAGCATGCGTGCATTTAGTGTGCGCTATTCCTGAGGACAGATGTGGTGCCACCAGCACCCTAATGCTCCTGCCACTGTGACTTCCATGCTATGATGAACTGTAATGTGGAACCCTGAGCCAAAATAAAGACTTTCTCCCTTAGCTTCTTTTACACGGTATTTTATCACAGCAACAGGAAGAGACACTAAGGCATGCCGCATTGAAATAGAAGTTGCAAAAAGATGTGTATATGTGGTGTGCATCTTTCTTTTGTGTGGTTGAGTTCCTTGGCTGCTGGGCGTGTAGCTTATCTCCTCTGTCGCTTGTCATGTGTATGCTCAGTAGTTATGAGGTGAACGGAGTTATGAATAATAGTGCCCACAAAGCAGGTGCACGGCCTCCTGTTACTACCAATGCTTCAGCTGGAAGGTATGCTCAAGAAAAGAAAAGATGTCTGATTACTCAAACATTTAGCCTGGGTAAAATACTGTGGTCTCTTTTTCCTCTTTTAACAAAAATTGAACACCTTTAACTGCTCTTCTAACCCTATTATATGAGATTAAAAAATACTGGGTTAATATTCTGAATGCTTTTGTATTTTCAATATCTTTTCTGCATAGGACTATAATGATGAGATCAGGCAAGCACAGCTCCAGGAATTGACATACTTGAACGGTGGTTCAGAAAACACAGATGTTCCAGTGGTTCGAGGGAAATCCACTCTGCGTACTAGAGGCATAACAACCCCGGCAATAACCAGGTGGGTTAAGTAACTGACTTTCTGTGTGTTGGTCAGCATACCATGGGCACAATTTAAATATTAGTAGCCAGAAACAATTCTGTTGGCTTATCACTGTGATGTCAGAATCAGGGGGCTGACTTTGGCACCAAAAAAATTGAGCCTGTGTTACTTACTAGCTTAGGGCTTTAAACAAGTCGTTGTTCATTCTCACACCAATTCTATAATTCCCTAAGATGGTGCTTTTTTCAGTGTCAGCAGAGCATTGATATGAAATGGAACGATTGGTCCCTGCCGACTGCTCACCCGCTTCTTTTCCATGCTGTGGCAATCAAAATGCCTGTATCGCTTTACTCGCTGTTAATGTTCTGTGACTGCTGGAAATTACTGAGCTGTTCCATGTATACAATATTTTTATTTGTCTCTGAATTGGATGATTATTTTCTAATGAGAGTAATGTTTTAAAAAGATTTTAAAAATGTGATGTGGCTCTCCCAGACTTACTTGTGAGCTATTTTTAATTTTTAAATATCTATTTCAAAAGAATTAAATTTTAAAAAGAAGTACCACTTTTTGTTGTTGCTGCTGTGTTTTGGAAACAGGGTCCCGTGTAGACTGAGTGCTGGGATCACAGTGTTTACCGCCATGCCCAACCAGCTATCCAGATTGTTCCATTGAGCTGGTAACTCTGTAGATTTGTTTTTCAGATAGACTACTGGATGAAATTTGAAATTGCATTCTTTTATGTCTCCGAGTTCATTTGGGGAATGAAGGTTACTTCCTTTGAAAGTGCCAGTCAGAATGGTTGTATGTGCTACTTGATGTAGGCCTGGGCATGAGCAGTAGGGCCCCTTCATATAAAAGGGTCAATAGCTGGGGTGCCAGGGGTGGATTTGTGAGACACCATGTAGACAGTAAATGCATTGTGGCTCATGTCCATTTCTTTATCTAATGGGTCTACTTGAAATCATAATTACTATTTGCTAGCATTTCCTATAGCCACTGTGACTAATGGCCACAAACTTGGGATCTGAAAGCAATGGAATTATTTTCCTCACAGGCCAGATGTCCAGCATCATATCAGTAGGCCAAGGGTGAGGTGTTGGCAGGCCCTTGCTGCTCTGTAGGCTCTGGGAGGAAAGCTTTTCTTGTTGCCTCTTTGTGTTCCCAGTGGCCACCTGAGTTGTATGACTTGTGGCCATGTCACTCCCTCCCTTCATCTTCATCTTCACACTCCTTCCCTTCTCTCTGTCATCCCTCCTTCACTCCCTTTGGTGAAGGACATGTGACTGTGTGGAAGGGCCACCTGAGTGATCCAAGGCAATCATGTCACCTTGAGATTCTTTATCAGAGCTTAAGGGCCCTTTTTTCTAAGTATGCTAACCTGCACACATCCCAGGGATTCGGGCTCCAGAGGGTGGGCTGCCCTGACAGGGTTCAGCCCAGTACGAGTGCCAGTTTTATGTCTTTTATGACGGGAGCAAACACAGAACAATAGGTTTAATAAGCATTTTTTAAAGTATTTTTTTTTTTATTATTTTGATTTTATGTGTACGCGTGTGTTGCCTGCATGTATGTGAGTGGACCCATGTCATGCAGTGCCATGGAGGTCAGAAGAGGGCTTCGGATTCCCCTGGAACTGGAAGATGGTTCGCAGCTGCAATGTGGGTGCTGGGAATCAAACCCAGGTCCTCTGCAAGAGCAGTCAGTGCTCTTAACTGCTGAGCCATCTCTCCAGTCCCCTTAATAAGCATTTTTTAAAGCCTTAAACTGTACTGTCCCTATGTTACCATTTTACGTTGTCTGTGGGCACGTGTGCAGAGCAGGTAGTGCATCCCTGGCCTGTTCTGATGCTATGGCTGATACAGACTTCCCAACCAGGGAATTGTCTCTGGATCCCTTTGTGGACTGAGACACTCATCTTTAGAACTTTGCTCAGAAGAGATCAGAAAGCACATGCAGATGGCTAGATGGAAGGAGCAGCCTCTCAGGATTGACCCACCCCGCCCTTCTTTTCCAGTGATACACACAGATAGATGCGGAGATGTAGTCATGTGACGTGACATTTCAGTCAGTGAAAGACAACATATACACTGGTGATCTCATTAGACTATGCAGCTAGAAAAAGTACCTATAGCCTAGTGATGTGGTAACTGTGGTAACAGTGTAGTGTAGTATGTTACTCAGATGCCTGTGGTGGTGCTGCTGTAACAGTGATCGTGCTGCCTATTCTGTAGAAGCAGACCTTGCATAGCCCTGTATACTTCATCTAGGGCTGTGCAACTACAGTCTAATAATTGCACACAACAAAATACAAAGAATTCCCAAAATTCTACATTATGTGATACATAACTACATATGGATAAAGAAATAGACATTGCTGTATGGGGATGCATGTCTATAAATGTTCTCTCTAGTGACACATACATAACCTTATTTATGTAAGTAAATTCACTACTCAGAAGTACATGTTCCATTATTTATTGTATGTATACATGTATAGAGTAAAGCTAATCCTGTTACCTAACTGCACTTGTGGATCACATTGTAAAACACAAGCACAGAATCGACATCTGCTGCTGGGGAGTGTCAGCATAGGGCACACTGGGCACCCACCATTGTGTAGGGACTCAGCGTCCTCGACGCACAGCTGCTGATATGACTCAAGATGATTTGTAGTTGGTTTTCTTTACATTAACACGGCAGTGTAGGCAAGAGGTGAGGAAGACAGAAACTTTATTTTGGAATGCAGTAGTTGGGGAAACAACTCCTTCTGCTCACATGAGAAATGATTATATCATACGCATTGCCTGTCTTGATGGTCGAGGCTCAGGTTTGTCTTGAGTTTTCTTTGTGGCCAAAGATGAAGAAAGCCAGAATTCATAGTGCCTAAGTATGAAAAAATCACAATACTAAACTAAAGTAGAGCACAGTCATTGACACCAAGCACTTTCTAGTACTCAGACAGGATCAAGATGTCAAACCTTGGGGCTGGAGATACGGCTTAAGAGCACCGATTGCTCTTGGAGAAGACCTGGTTTCAATTCCCAGCACCCGCATGGTGGCTAACAACCATCTGTAACTCGAGTTCCAGGGGCTCAGACGCCCTCTTCTGACCTCTGTGGACACTGCTGCATGCAGGCAGTGTGCTCATACACATAAAATAAAATAAAAAAATATATTTTTTTTTAAAAAGATGTCAAACCTGTCATCCCAGACACCAGCCTGGTCTACACAGTGACTTCTAGGCCAGCCAGGGCTACATAGGGAGACACCGTCTCAGAAAACAAATGAAGAAATTTGAGAAAAGAAATTGGTTTTCCTGCAATGCAGTAATGTTTTAGTGATGTTACTCCAGTATATTGAACTCAGACCCAGAAGACGCTGAGAAGGGAATCGGAAGCAGCAGCGGTGTGGGGGCATGCTCACCAAACACACCTTTGTTTATACATTCTCCTCGGGCTTTTAGTCCACATTTACCTGTTTTTGTATCGGGCTGAACTAGTTTTGAATCTTAAAGGATGCTTACTTCTTTTTTAAAATTTCTTATTTATTATTATCTTATGTGTATGAGTATATTGCCTGCATGTATGTAAATGTATCTGTGTCATACAATGCCTGCAGAAGTCAGAAGAGGGCATTAGATCCCCTGGAACTGGAGTTAACGGATCATTGTAAGCCACTATGTGGGTGCTGGAAACCAACCCCAGGTCCTCTTCAAGAGCAGCCAGTGCTCTGAACCACTGAGCCATGTCCCCAGCCCTCAGGAGGCTTACTCCTGTTTTCTTAAACAGCTGGCTTGTTCCATGTTGGTCTCTCTAGGGACTGTGCCATGCGTTTGAATCCCTACTTTACCCTAGATGTGTTTTCAGGCACTTTTAATATCTGTCTTCGTCTCAGTTCCCTTGTCCATGGATGAGCAAGTTAAGGCCCACTGTGTGTTGGAATCACATTGGGTCTCATTCTGGAGTGGTGTCATCCATGTGACCGACTCAGAAGCTATAGTTTCCTACTGTGTTGGGGGTGAGAAAGTGAAGCCCTGTGCCTGCAGTGCGCCCACAGTGCATGGCTTTAGCTGTCTACAGAATCCCGTCTCTGGTGGAGATGTGCTTCCCCTACTTTGGTCTCTTTTTGGTGTGTGCTTTGTCTCTTTATTTTTACAGAAATCCTGAACCGTGATTTGTCTTAGATATAAATCTGTACATAGAATAGAATGTTGAAAAATACAGCAAATGCTGCTAATTTGATCCTCTCGCTTACAGGGGAAGAGGAGGTGTCACAGCCAGGCCTGTTGTGGTTGGTGTGCCCCGTGGGACACCAGCTCCCAGGGGAGTCCTTTCCGCCAGAGGGCCAGTGAGCCGGGGAAGAGGACTTCTCACTCCCAGAGCAAGAGGGGTCCCCCCGACTGGGTACAGACCTCCACCACCACCCCCAACGCAAGAGCCCTACGGAGAGTATGTAAGTGAAGCGGCAGCTTTGGTGATCAGGTTGAGCAGTTCAGATATTGTCATAACCACATTCTCGAGTTCCCCTCCCTGGAGAGACTGAGCCTTCAATCTCAGCTCAGCAAATAGCTGTTGATTGCTAAACAGGCACCTTGTACTAGAGGGATAAACGTGATAGGATCAGTCATCAGGTAGCTTAAAGCTGAGGTATGGAAGAATTTCAGCAGTGGGGAGGTGCTAGGCTGGGGTCGAGGAGAGAGCTGGCGAGCTGTTCCGCAAGTTTATGAGAACATTCTTTCATATTCTGCTTCATGGAACTAGCCTCTGATTAATTCATTCAGTCATTAGTAAAAACGATTGCCTACATATACCAAGGTGGTCTCATCCTTAAATATGTCATTTTAAGCTATGCAGTTAAGTATAGATTTTTAGTAGATGCTCTGGCCAGTGAAGAAAATAAAAATTCCTATTTTTGATCAGTTACTTTTCTTTAATCGTTCATTAATTCTTTGATATATTTGCACACTTAATGTAAGAGAAAGAAATACAGCCATAAAAAATGGGGCAGCAGGGAAGGACCTGCTTAGGGACACCAACCCTGGGGAGTCTTAGTGAAGCATCCCAGTTTGTCACTGGTGGAAAAATGAGAGGCAGTCAGATGGTGTTCACATCAGTGACTGAAGTGTTGAAGTGGCAGCAGGTATGTGAGCACGTGCCGGGGTAAGATACAAGGACCAGCAGCTGTTTCTGTCTTACTTTATAGAGGCGGCTTGCTAGGTACTGAGCACCTCTTTTCACTGTTTCTAGAAGGTTGCAGTGATCCCTTCAGCCACTGAAATCCTCTGTAGTTTCATCTCTGGCCACATTGTCTTGTATGTACTAAACTTGCTGAAATTCCACAGATGTGCTGTGTGCTCTTACACGTCTCTTAGGCCTTGATCGTGGTGCCTCAGGCTTGGCCTAGATGGCTCTCTGGTATCTTACTCGTCTCTTCTTTCCCATGCCTGTCTCCCGTTTCTCCTTCCAAGCTTAGGTCAGCTATTGCTGGAGAAACTCATAGGCGATAATCGCCGATCTGTGGAGTGGTTGAGCATTATAATCATTGTTGTATGTTTCTTCCCCATGGAGCTGTGAGCATGTGGCAGGGTAGGGATGAACAGCATTTATCTCCTTTTACTTAGCAGAGAGCTCAACACTGGACATTCTGTAGCAAATCCCCCGTTTGCCATTCAGTTGTGGAAGATGTTGCTCGTTCCTCTTTATCTCTTACAAATGCATGTGTTCCTGTATCCTAATGTCCTTACCAAATGACAGTGAGGGTCATGCCTTGAGCTACCCCACTAACACCAAGTGTGTGACAGTGACAGACATGCCTTGAGCTCCTCCACGAATGCCAAGTGTGTGATAGTAATGGTCATGCCTTGAGTTCATCTACAAAGGCCAAGTGTGTTTATGGTCATGCCTTGAGCTCCTCCACAAATGTGTGAAAGGAGCAGGAACCCTCGGGAGAGTGCTGCTGGAATCCTCACAGGTAGACCCCACGAGTCAGTTCATTCCCACTAGCTTACCTTGACTTCTCTTAAGCAGACATGGTGGCAGGATGTTCTAGAAATTTCCAGGCATGGAATGTGAGAAACTGGATCCTGGAACTCATTTTATCATACACTTGGAATGAATTAAGCAATTTAACATTTGTTGGCCTCAGAATCCACATATTTAGAAAGCTACTGCGGCCTTTGTATGCACTACTTCATCTTACACTCGATAAAGATGGCCTGAGTTCCTTCTGTGTGGGCCAGATGCACATATTATCAGTCGAGAAAGAAATACGATAAATAAATCCAAACATTTCTTATCCAGGGGAAGAAAACAGGGACCACTGATCCTTGGGGGGTTGGAAGGCATTGGTTGCCTAGAGCTCTGATTTTTTTCTTTCAATTTTGGATAATGAGAAAATCATTGAAACAAGTAAGTGAAATGACTAACATTTTCCTGAATGGATTCGCGCTGTTTCATATTCACTAACATGACTACCACGGCTAAAGTCCTGTGGAGGGGTACTTGGATTCTTCTTCAGGAGTAAGGGAAAGAGCATCTGAGGAAAAGAAGACAATGTGGGCTTGAGTCTCCCCACACTGAGCTTTGGCTCTCCGAGGCTGTGGTCCCCCCATGGGACCAGAGCTCTTTCTGCTGCACTTAGTTGCCTTCAGATAATGGACAGCTACATTTTCATCATTGCTTTAGTTTGCCTGAAAGACATCAAGTCCTACATGCATGGGATGGTGCCTGCTTTCCAGGCATGCTTAGGGTGGAATAACAGGATGCAGGAAACCTTCCCCCAGGTGAACCCTGCTATGAAGGATTTAGATTGCAAACGCAAGCACTTAATTTAGTATCTGTTATTCACTGGAATATGTTTTCAGATTAATAGCCAAGCTGAAAGATTGTCCCCGCTTAGCCTAGCGTTCCCTAATCTCCACAGTTAGTGGAAAAGCCTCAGTAGCTGCACACTGTAACTCAAACATCACCAAAGAGGAGAGAACCTGCTTGCTTCTCTTACGGCGGCTTGCATCAGCAGCTGTTCCCTGTTGAGCTTTTCCGGCTCTCTTGACCTAACTGGAACTTAGTGTCCTGACTCCAATCAGTCTAACACTGCTTGGCAATCTGGCATGTCTGTAGATATTGGCCATTGATGTTAACTGTTTGAAATCCTGGTGGCCTATTACATCATGCTTACCTTTGAATCATTCAAGGGAGATATTAACAATGAAACAACAATGGAAGTAAACAGCCTCAAACTTGGTGTTTCAAAGAGACAATACTGAAGCTACAAAAGAGAAACAACAAGGCACATATAGAGGAAACCCCATCAGGATCACAGCTGAGTTTTCAGTGCAAACTATGAAAGCCAGAAGAGCCTGGACCAAAGTATTCCCAGTTCTAAATGACCACAGATGCCAACCCAGATTACTACACCCAGCCAAAATGTCTATTATAGTGGAAGGGGAAAGAAAAATCTTCCATGACATAAATAGGCTGAAGGAATTC